AGAGCCTAGGAGGATGAAATTTTAGGGTAATGACCCCCTGCCCACGCTCAACCTTGTCTATTCAAATTCAGCGTTCCCGCGCTTTTGAGTATCACTTACGGCCTCGTGAAAATTTCGAGGGTAAACTATTAATTCAGGAATCACGGAAAAATATTCACCATTCAAGGTTTCGAATTCAGCTTTCATGCGCTGGTGCGTGAAATTTTTAACTATTTCCTAATTTTTGAACCATTTTTGCATAGAATAAAATACAAAGCAGTAAAAATCATTAATAGGCAATCGCTCGATGGGCTAAATTGCACAAAACGCACGATCGCACCGGCTAGTCTGGAGCGCGTTGCTACTTACTATTATTACACCTAATTTGCCCAGTTCCTTTTATGTTTTTCAGTGCCACTTTTACTTCCTTTTCCGATTCATTTTTTCATCAATACGCTACCCGTGTAAAATTCGTTCGTTGGAACTGTTCTACTGATGAATCCGGTTTCTGTTGAGCTGGATGAGTTGCACACAATACGATGTGTCGCAACATCATAAACGTTTACTTTACACCGCTTTCAGTGTTTATCTTGCGAATTAAAAATGTTGCAATAGATGTTAGGATAACGCGCTCCCTCTGACAAATGTGAGTGTCTCTCAGTGGCTATGAACCATTATACTAATGGTAGTTCAAGCATTCTTGCTAATCTGAGTTAATATGCTAATTTTGCACAATAAAATGCTTTATGCTGCAAAAAATCAAAAGCTCCTTAAAGGGATACTCAACTTCTGATAGTGTTGCCCTCATGAATCCAACAGAACTGAGTCTTTTCCTTTTTATCCAGGCTTAATTTTGGTACCATAAACCCTTAGAGTAACTATCAGTTTCAGCACAATGCAGAATTCACGAGATGAAAAGGCCTGTCACTAAATTGTGTAAAAATTTGGCGAGTTTTCATTTTCTTTTCATAAAATTAAGACGCATTAGTAAAAAACTGCATTCGGACAAATTAAAATTGTACTGGGAAAAAGGCAGAGGAAACCATTACTTTCCAGGCCGAATCGTGTCCAATAATCTGAATATGAGGATTAAAATGTGCTTCTGCGGGTGTTTCATCGAACGTTACTTCGCTGAATGCAAAACACAAGCCATGCCTAATTGCGTCAGCAATTTGGCGGCTGTTACCGCATAAAATCAGAGCATGAAGGTGATCTGTGCCTTCCAGGAAGTCTTTCATTCCAGGATCCAGCGTTGTCAGTACCGAATCCATTCCTAACTGAAAAAGCTTGCCAATTCATAATTTATGAATAATTCATAAAAATTCTGATCAATGTTCTTTGTAAAAAGGCATTTTTAGGGCCAGTATTGCCGTACAATGAAACATGAAACAAGAGGAAAGTTAGCGGCAATCTGGCACGCCATGGAGCGATACATAGACAAGCCGATTGCCGATTATAGCCTCCAGGTTGACCTTGGATGCCGAAGTGTCGAAGGTGCTCTGAATAAAGAAAGCAGGAGGAAGATGAGGAAAAGAGGCAGGAGTGTAATAAGAAGTTTCGATTCATTAAGTCATATACGTCTTAACTCAACAAGCTGCAGCAGTTTTTCAGTAAAATACTGCGAGCCCGGTCTTGTGCGTTCAACATCATCAACGTAATGCGTATGCTAGGAAGAAGAGCTGGGATGGTCATTTGTCAAGAATGAGTGATAACAAGTGACAAAAAAAAAATCACTGAATGGTACCCGAGCACTGTTAAAAGAATGAATGGAAATTAAAAACGGAAGAAAGATCCGACTGAACGGATATATGGAATTATGTGGATGAGAGTAATGCAATACGAATAATGAAGTTGTTAGCTGCACCAAAGAAGACGATGATGAAACAACAATTAATCAAAATATCAGAATGTTACTGAAACAGGCATTTCAATGTGTCTCTCTGCCTCTAACAAATGCAGTTAAGAGAACGGCTAATTTCTGATTATAAAAACAACAAACCTTTGCTTTGCTGGCCACTTTGGAGAGGAAAGGAGATTGCTGTACGGTTTGCTGGAACCACTGTAGCACTCCATGCCCTTCTTCGTGCTTCTCCTCAGCTGACAGCTGTGACTCACTTTCTGGCATATTCATCGGGATCATCATTTGTGTAGGTGCCGGTGCTACGCTTCCACTGCTGCTCTGAGCCACGTTCTGTCCGCCGGTGAGAGTTGTTGGTGGTGCAGGTTGCTCCACCGTGGCAACAGAAGGGGGCACCATAGGAGGTGGAACAAATGCAGTGGGGGGTGGTATTGACGTTGGTGGTGGTAGTGGTACTTCGGCATTT